AGGAATATGGGCATGGCTGCAAAACGTGATGGACATATCAGTATTCAGTATGTTATTCCCCTTGTAGAAAGCATATGAGAACAATGCAAAGCATCATTTTCTCTTTTCCTTTTTCTTTTCTCTTGGGTGAGCTGGAATTCTTTAGCATAAATTCTTTAACTACTCTTGTAACAGATAAAGACAGGCATTTCATAAGAACTTGTTTAAACCCTTGGAAAATTAGAGAACTACAGATGACAAACCTACGAAGCGAGTCTTGACAAATAGACCACTGCAGTGCAGCTAATCCATGAAGTTCAGTCTGCACAAACATTATGTCATATATTTCAATGTCAAATGTACTGGAGAAGAGAAGTTCCAATTGCCTTCAGGTTTGCATTATATTACTTTATGCTTCTGTTAAGAACAGGATAACACAAAGTATTACACTTCTGTTAAAAACAGGACAACACAAAGTATTACGCTTCTGTTAAAAACAGGATAACACTATGTTAAGTATAAAAGTAAGACAAATGTATCTAGTGTCTCATGAAACAGGGCATTCATTCTGTAAGAAAGCAAATCTTAAGTTTTCACATTCAAAAGAGAAAGCAAATCTTAAGTTTTCACATCATTCGAAAGAGAGACAAAAAAGTATGAGTTATTACTTTAGTCCTCGTTACTTATGTGCATGCAAATCAACTTGTTTAAGGCCTCTTTTATCATAATAATGTTCATATATGCAATCCTTATCCCCAAAAGATATTTGAGTGTGAAATTGGCACTTTTCCTTCTTTTTTGGTGGACGGATGTGGGTCATTTGCAGGAGAGTGCTTAGGGAGTTGTGCCTTTACTCATATAACAGACAATGAAGTTGGATAAAATGCAGATGTGAAAAGGAAAGGAAAAAAAAAATGATACATGCATAAATTATGCAAGCTTATAAGGTTGAAGAATATCTAACTAGTACAAGAAATCACCTGAAATGGCAACTCATTCATAACTTTCTCATAAAATGGTAGTGCTTCCCTGAGCTTGCCAAGGTCCATGAAAGAGTCGCCATCCTTCAGTGCCTAAGCATGACAATACTAAAATTAAGAAGTAAGTCATACCTCATGATTCTCAATCAATCAAGAATATAAACCCGCATAAGAATGGCATAATACTAGAAACACTCTTCCCTTTCAAAGGACTCCTTCAACATAGTTTATTAACTTATCTAAATCAACCATAAACATAAGTTTCTGAAGTAGTTTAATTTTCAGTTTATCTTGCTTATAAGGGATGGAGTATTTGTCAGTAAATCCATTTTAAAAAAGCGTGCTTCAATCAATTTCAATCATGTTGGTAAGTCGTTGGTCTAATTTACCACTTGTCAATTCAGGAAATGAAACCACATCTAGCCTCTTAAATGCATTAAGAAACACAAATGGAAAGGCATGTCGTCCATAGAGGACTTTTTGGACTATTTGGTTCTAGAGAATAACTAAATCAGACCAATATCATTCCATTTCCTTCGCACGTCCCATTGCCAAACCCAGTGAGTCTTTCTAACCATAGTTTTGCCGGTAATGTCATGCTTTTTGTAAAATAAATCTTATATGCACCATTCGCGCATGTCAAAATGGCTCTCCATGAACATGAAATGTTGGCACCCTTAATGCTAAAAGTTCATTCAAGATTACCCGCCAATGCAAAAACACAGATGTCAGTTGTAGAAACTTCAGAAGTTAATTTTTACTACTTCGGGACTAATGTAACAATTGTCCACATCTAGCATTTAGCTTCACTATTTCTCGTTCATGGCCCAATTAAATATAATCTACAATAGCCTGGATTTGCAAATATATCTAATTAACCACTGGAATGTGGAGATCCAAAGCATCATCAAATCGAGGAAAATTACACTGCTTGGTAGGTGTGCTTAAGTTATAATGAGCTCTGAAGGCCAGTATCCCGGAGGTTCTCTAACTCCATCTGATGGTAATGTGAATTTATCCCACTCACCAAGGGCCATGGCGATGATATAAATTTTTCGAAAATGCACGGCGATGATATAATTTCCAAGTCTTAAAACCTTTAATTTCAGTCCATCTAAATGGATTTGTGAGAATACGGAGCATATCAGTACCAACCCTCCAAAAACTATCAATCTTCCTCATTCATTTAAGTGACTGACAATGTGACAAGATACCCCTCTTCATTTCAAAATCAGACTCTGGTTTATGTATTCAAAGTAGAAATGATTGGAAAAAACATTCAATTCCACTACTTGAATTAACAAGTCTGGTGTTTATCGAATCAAGTCGCCAACAACATGGCAATTCGTAGAACTACTTGAATTAACAAGTCTGGTGTTTATCGAATCAAGTCGCCAACAACATGGCAATTCGTAGAACTACTTGAATTAACAAGTATGGTGTTTATCGAATCAAGTCGCCAATAACATGGCAATTCATAGAACTGGGGATGGTGTACAACAGCTTTTATATGCTGAAAAGTCATAAGTTATGTATAAATGATGAGACTTCTGCATCAGCTCTCAAGAACAATAAGAAGCAGATTAAATGTATTTTCCTTAATGAAAGAAATCTGATGCATTAAGGAACATGATATAAAGAAAAATAACAGTAGCAGTTAAACTATACCTTCTCACATTCAAGTTTTACGTTTTGATCAATACTTAGGCCTACTCTCTTCTTGTAGGCAGCAAGTAGCTCCCTCGTACGTGCTTCTTTAGCTGCTTTCTCTTCTCCTGATTCAAGTGCCTCTCCTGGACGTATAGTTCTTCCACCGCCAAACTAAGCTCCAAATAAGCAATAAGGTTATTCATAGTGTTTTGCATAAATAACTACATTCATTAGTTTAAGAGAGCGGGGTATTCAAAGAAACTAAAATTTGATAGAGAGAGGCATAGTCCAACATAATGATAACGAGAAATAATTTCATAAAGCTGGCAGTATGCAAGGAGGGCCAGGGCTAAGAAGGCTGAGAAAGAGATGAAATGCAACCTCTACACACATATTTATACGCTAATGCCGAGAATGAATAATGGCAAGTGTTTAACCTTTTGCAGCTTGCTGGTCAGATGGTTCGATTTTATGCTAATTATCAAAAACATACCAAACTAATAAGGTATCACTACCCAAGAAACCATTAAACAGTGCTTTATTTTAGAAGTAATCAGTAATGAGTAAGTTTTTTATCCTGCTCCACCTTACCACAAAGAGAATCGCTCTCCCAATCCACCCTTACTACCAAAAAAGAAAAGAGAGAAAGTTCTTATTCAAGTGTATCCTTACAAAAGTTAAAACTCTCCTGTAAAACATTGTCAGTACACCGAAAATTGGAAGTTGTCAATCAGAATATTCTATACCACGGAGATTAACACTATGTAGCAGCCTTTGCTTTCTAAATCTCCTAGCAACAAAACATTTGCAGATACTACAGCTTGTCATTCTTAACTGCAAAAAGAATAAGGTTTCATGCATGGATTAAGCTGAGTTGCAATTTCCTGAAAATATCCATGCACTCGTCATCAGCAATTTTTATTAGCTCTAAACCCACTTATTTCCAATATTAACCAGATGAGTAAACTATCATTTTGCATGCCTGTTTTCTACTTTTACCCCTTCTCTTCTAAAATTATTCCTGACTTGAAGCTTACCTTCATTACTTTCTACTGCTGCACCGGAGTTATCAACAGGGATTCAGCCATCATTAAAAATGCTTGTAATGGTCAATTGTACTCATCTATTGCACACACATAATAGCCCCAGATAATTTCCACAATAAAATCCCCGACCTTAAATGCTACGCATATTTTTGAAATACCATGGACAAACAGATTGTTTTACAACGTAATGCAAGAAACTGATGGAGCTTACTTCTCCAAACAATGAGCCTGTTCATTTTTTGGAGAGACGATTGTAATATGATGTCATTTATCCAGTTTTGCTTAGCTTTCTATGAATATCTTTCCTTTGTACTTTACAACGATTGTATCTTTCCTGATGGAGCTTAATTCTCCAAACTTGCATTTACTGTTTCACTTTTGATTAACTTTCTGCTTTAGGAAGAATCATGGTCAAATTGGTGAGGTTCTGGAATCGGGAGTTAGCACTGAAATTAAACTACTGCTATTTCATAAAACATTGAACTCAGGGCATATCAAAGAAAGCATAAACATTAATTGCACCAGAACACACTCAAATAAACATATCCTACAATAGCAGTAAAAGCTGCTATTTCCATGAAATCATAGTAGATAATGATAACACGAAGCATACTGAATAAGAAGACAATGCATAACAAAAAGCTAAAGCACAAGTCATAATGGGCAACCTACAGTTTTTGAGATGTCATTTGGTCTGGGGAAAACTCCCCATGTGGAAACCTTCGGCTTATAGGTATTTGTGTCATCTTCTTGGATGCGGTTTGACTTTGATGTCTCAGTATCTACAAACTTGCTTGTGTCCCCAACAAGTATCTCTACATCAGGCAAGTTTCCTTCAGGGAATGAGTCTACTATTGGAACCAATCCAGCAGGCAGTCCCCTGCTCTGCTTTTTATCAGAAAAACCAAGCCCCACGAAATCACTACTTGAGATCGTCAACTTTTCCTTCTTACTAACACTCTTTTTGGGTAAGGCATTTCTGTCACTTTCTCCATTCCCTTTATTTGATCCTACAGAAAAAACTCACAGCCTTCAATTGAATACAACTCAGATTACAAAGGATAACGTTGATGCACCAAATGGAGGATAATAAAGCCCTTATCTTTTGCATAACAATCAAATTCTAAAGGGTCATTGGTTCACATGTTGCTGAGATTATAATGCATTAATTCTTTATGGGATGAATAACAATGAAGGGAACATTATACGGTAAAGAATAACAATTCAGAGAATGTTATGCAGAGATTACCTAATTTGATGAATTTTTTGTATTTAATTTTAGACAGTAGATATTTTAATCTCCATATTACTAATACATGTATTCTTATTTCATGTTCTATATCACATAAAATAATACATAGATTTTCGCACTACAAGTACTATCTAATACCAGTAACTAAACAATGCTTTAGTTATGCGGCTATTATTTTTATTATACAACCAACCAAACACTGCATCAGTCACGAATGAATTTATTTTTTATAATCCCTCCTACCAAACATTATGCCATTTCATGTAGGGAATATTTTTTTTTAATCTCCCTAACCAAACAACCCCAAATAATCTTGATCAAACTACTAGAAGTATAACTCTTAAGCTACATCCTTTAACCATGGTTTACAATATCCATACAATCCATCTACAGTTAAAAGAAAATTACACAATATAAAATGCTAAGCACATCCATATTGCATTAAACTTAAAAAAAAAAAATCCTTCACAACTCCATATTGAAGGTTTTTTAGTTCTAGCTTACTAATTTCTACAAAAAATATTTACGTGAATATATTAATCATTTGAATATAAGTAGAGGGCGGAAACTTTTCTCAGTAAACATTCAAAGAAAAAATTGTCCAAAAATCATGGCGAAAGTTTAATTATTGAAAAGAGTAAAGTGAAGAATTTTGGAAAAAGATAGGGAAATAGAGAAAGCATATAAATAAGTAAGAAGATATTTGTCTCACTTTCTTGTACAGTGTTACTGTCCAATGCAAGTTTATCAGCTGAAGGCACCACTTTATCATCTAATTTAGTTTCTTTCTTGTAAGCCTTAGCTTTTAAAAATGCAAGCTTCACAGGATCAGTTTCAACCTTCTGGTCCTGAGGCTTATCTTCTGAGTTATTGGAAGCTGAGATTTTGAGAGTTCTAGATTTCATGATTTTGGGATATGGGCCAGACTTGATGGCTGGGAAAGAAGAGAAGACTTGGGAATGTGGGACTAACGCCATGTCTCTTCTTTTCTGGTGCTGAATTAATGGGCCAAGATTTTCAAAGAATTTGTTCTCTATAATAAAGAAGGTGCAGAATTGGCCATGGGAGTGGAATAAACAGCTGCCCTGCTGTTTGCGAGCTCAGATAAGAGGAGATTTTAGCTGCTAGTACTATTTTCAGCCTCACTCTTTTCTCCTTTTTCGTGTTATTTTTATTTTAATTTGTTTTGCATTTAGGAAAATGTAGAAAAATTGAACAGGTAATGGGAAAAGTGTATCTGTTTGTTTGGTAATTAGAGTGAAAGGGAAAATGCTACTAGAAGGGTTGGGACAACTACATCTCTATTTGTTTTATTTCCTCTATAAAGAAAAAGATATATAAGTGTACCAAGAATATTATTTTTTGTCTCCTTAATTTTCTCTTTTCTCTTATCAAACCAAACAAAGAAATAGGAAGTTGTAAAAATATTTCCTTCCCTTGATTAATTAGCTATATATCATTTTTTTCCCTTCTACTTCATTGTTCTGTACTCACCAAAGAATATAGCAATGATTTTCTGAATTAGTTTTTTGGACAATTTTGCATGGATGTGTATCAAATTTGCCTTTTTCATGAGAGATGTTTTCTTGAAAAAGCTCACTTCTTATATTTTTAGGTTTTCGGTTGATGAATACAGACAAAACAACTCGCATAATAGAGATGCAATAAAATTTTATATCGAAGACATTCCTCGAAAAAAGGCATTAGTTGTTATTATGCATTGAGATTGTGCTTGAGCTCTTGATCCCGATCTTCATTTTTTTGTTGGAATTGTTTTTTCAAGTTCACGGCAGCATTTTTATGTCCACATCGAAACTCTATTAAGTTCAAGCGATTTAAAATTGAGAGAGATATAATCAAATCTTCGATAATAGTATTTAAGTACATTTTTTTCACTAAAGATACACTTTTTATTTCACACTATCAAGGAAAATATGTTTTCTTTCTCGGTATCAATCCATTCAATTAGTTGCTTGCTCTTTCTCTTACATTCTCGCATTTTGAGCTTATTCTGTATCCTAACAAAAGTGTTTGATTTTGCATATGCTTAAATGGCCACATTTCCGACAAAGAAGGATGTTTGTTTTGAAATCCTTTTGCATGACTACCAACAAGAGGAATAACTATATGCGGCTCATTATTTGACAAAAGGTAAACATTCAAGAGTGTGACCTAGTAGTCAATGAAGTGAATTATGAGAGGTTTCAAGTTCAAATTCTAACAAAGAAAAAATACTAGGTTATTTTTTGACGATACAAAGGAATCAAACGATCCCAACAAACACATGAAACAAGGAAAATAATAGACAAAAGAGAGTTAGAGAAATAAGACAAAAGAGAGAGATGTAGATACCCAAGAAGCAATAAGAATACACAATTTTTATCATAAAAGAGACTCATACATAGGTTCTAAGCCCTTATATTGAATTTCCAATGTCTTTCCGTTTATTTGAGCTGCATGTATTCTCAAAGATAATGTTAAAGTTAACCATCTAGACTCAAACCATTTTTCAAATTGTAGTGAAAATGTAACCCCAAATCATTTTTTCTATTTTTTGATTTGACAATAATAATAATTATTTTTTTCTTTGGAGTTAAAGATAAATAACATACGGAAGTTTTGGAGTTAATATGCAAACTTATCACGACCTTTCACAATATTTTCTTTACTGCACAGATTGAGTAGATAATCAATTTATACCACAACCTATCGAATGACCAAAAATAAATGAAAAAGGAATTTAGAGGCGTCTTTTGTTTCCATTGAGTTGTTTTGATTTTTATTTTTTGTTTTAATTTTCTTTCCGTATTTATTTTTTAGTAAAGATCCATTTAAATTTAGTTTAGGCCGGTTCGGGTCGAAAGTCGAAACTAAAAAATTCAAGTTAGCTCTGCACTTTCTTCTTCACCGCCTTCACTTCCTCTGAAGTGACTGCAAAAATCTTCAAAACCCAAACCTTTCTTCACCATAAACCCTACTGTTCTCCTCCCCTACAAGATTCTAGAACCTCATACCAGAACCAAATCCCCTAAATTTTCTCCTCTAAAGTTCAAAATTCAAATACACCAATAATGACTAAGGTTTACGGAACCGGAACCTACGATTTCCGGCGCCACCGCGTAGCTGAGTACCCGGTGGAAGCATTACCGCAGCCGGCAGAGAAAATGCTTCCTTCCGTAACAGACAGGCCGCCTGAGTCAAAGCCCGGTTCGAACATTCCTAGCTCCATAACCCTTGCTGAGATCCAACGCGACCGCTTGACTAAAACCGCTGCTTCTAATTGGGCTAAAACTGGGGAGAAGAAACCCTTTAGTCCTGAGCTCGTCAAAGAAATTTATGACACGGAGCTCACTGTAAAAGGTTAGTAGTTGAAATTAGAAAAAGTGCTTTAATGTTTGTGTTTTATTCTTAAAAGTAAATGATCAGTATGTGTTTCGACTGACGTCTGAAAGTCAGTCAACAAAGGACTAAATTTTATAAAAACATAATTGGATATATGAGTTTCTATTAATGTGTGTGCTAGTAATATATATGTATTTGGCACCCAAGTGTGTGGCCTAGTGGTCGATGAAGTGGGTAGAGAACCATGAGCTCTCAGGTTTCCTTTGGAGATAACAAACACTTGCTGATTTCTTCCCATCTGTCCATGCCACCTCGGTGGACAGAGTTACCTGCTACCTGTATTGGGAGATAGCAAGTACCGGGTGGAATAGCCTAGGTGTGCACAAGCTGGCTTGGACACCGCTGTCATAAAAAACAGATAAATGTATGTGCATATGCATATGGTGGTATCTGATGATATCTTGTGATTAGGCCGTCGTAGAAATAAATTTTGATTGATGATATTTGATCATGGTTCGTGTAAAGGGGGGAGAAAGACGGTTCCGCTGCAGAGGGTGATGATATTGGAGGTTAGCCAGTATTTGGAGAATTATCTTTGGCCCAATTTTGATCCAGAGGCTTCTTCCTTTGAGCATGTGATGTCAATGATGCTGATGGTCAATGAAAAGGTATAATATTCTTACTGCCTTTGGACTCATCTGAGTTACTACGAATTTCTGGTTGCTTGTCAGGGTGTTCCGCCTCACAATAACAAGGCAAAGCTATTAAGTACACAGAGATGGTGCATGTTATTACCATGTTTTTACAAAAAGCAACTTATAATACTATACATCTTCTACTAAAATTGTCTGCCATCTGATAGCATCTGTTACTGCACAACACATACAGAACGCACCTTTCTCAGATAGAAAGCTTTGAAAGAAAGCTTCCACTTCTTAAACCTCCGTGTCTTATTAGGGTCTCCTAAAAGAAACATCCAAGGTCACCTTTGTTGCGCGGCTTGCGCCTTCTTAATAGTTGAGCTGCGATGGAATTCTTGTAATTCGCAACACCAGAAAAATTTGGGGAATCTTCTTTCAGTGTTGTGTTTTTTTACTTCTTACCCTTTGCTACCAAAAATCCCGTGAAGCATTTTAATGTCATTTTCTCCTTCACAATCCCTTTCCACGCATTTGTCCTATGTGTAAACATTTCCTTAAGAACCATCCATAAATCCGTCCATCTTGATTACAACCATACTTCATATGTACACTATGATATTCATGTCTTTCAAAACCTCAAAAATGCAATTCAGTTAAGGATTGAACTGCTTTTACTCTGCATATCTCTTTTTTGAGAATGGTAACACGTGTATTTAAAAAAAAAACATTAAGCCATATACTTTTACTCTGCATATCTGTGGGTAATTTTGTTGCATTGTACGTCTGTTGTGTTATGTTCAAAATGGAAATTGGTGGCTCTGTTTCTTTTTCCTACAAGTTAAATAGAAGGAAAGCTGCATTTGACTTATAAGATGATGAAAGACGGAATAAGTTAAGCATTGGTAGAGTTAGTGAGATATCTGGCTGCATTAGCAGAAAATTTAGAGTCTGTAATGTGCAATAGTTTCAAATAAGGATCATGTAAATGCTTATGATTCCTTTATTTAATCTTTGCACGCTATTTGTCACTGGTTACCAAATAATTTTTGCAACTTGTAGTTTCGGGAGAATGTGGCTGCATGGATCTGCTTCTATGATAGAAAGGATATGTTCAAGGCATTCCTTGATAGGATTCTTCGGCTGAAAGAGGTTTGTTTTTGTCTTGGGCTCAACGAATTTTCAGTGGTTTAGTTATCCTCAGTAATTTGGTAATGCTTGTTCTATCGAAAAAGCTTGTTTTCTAACCTGAAGCTGCGTTGTAACTTGCTTTATAAGCATCAGTAACTCCTCCTCGACTACTAATGTGAATAATAACGCATCCTTGGTGGATGATTGATCAGTAGGAAAATTTTAGCTCCACATGAAGTGTAAAATAAGAATCTATTTCAACAGAGTTCTCTCTATCTCTGATGTGAGGGTGCGCTAGAAACTGAGAGTGCTGAAAAGAAACAAAGGCAAAGGAGAAAAACAATATACTTTTATCAAAAGCGCCTAACCACTTTAAGAACACCTTTTGTGTGTGGAGACCCTTGAAAAATGCATAGGTGAACTGTCTACTTTGCTGAACGATCAAATAATTCACAGCTTTTTGTCAAGTCTAAGGATCATATCTTGTAAACTTTGACTTGCATCTTACCTTGAGAATGCAATTGTTTTGTTGTTAGGTTCTATATATAGTGTTAGTAAACCATGGATTGCAGAGTTAGCATAGCTACTGCGTATGGATAGTTTGGTTGACGGGCTAGTTGTGCAGGGATCATAATATAGGGATTGTTATGTTATGTCATTAACAATACACGGATCATTATGGATAAGAGTCAATAATTAGCACTATTATTTGGTACACGTGTACATGGTATAGTGAAAATAAATTCTTAAATTCAAGAATGTTAGAATTCTTACTGTATAGTAATATCTTGATTTTCTTAAATAAAATATTCTTATTTTTGTTTTTGCTATGACAAGACATCTTAAAATAAGGCAGCTTACATCAAGGGTAAGTCACCTTTAAGGGAATTATGTTCTATTTTAGGTGCTCTTCGACAGGTATTGCTAATACAATTGATCTTATTTCACATTATATCACACATAAAATAATACATAAATCCTGCATAAGTTGTGTAAGTATTACTTATGCAGGAAAGGGAAATGACAACTACTACTAATCAGTTTTATGTAACAAGCCTATACTTTTCAGCTCTTTATGTAACTTTACTGGTAACTATTGTTT